GCCGTGATACAGCTGTAATACCGTTCGAAGCGGAGTTTACTCCAAATCACTCATTCACTCACTTACGTACACACTCACTCACTGTTTTGTTTCTTTACTTCCAGTTGATGCACCGTTGCCGCAACAGAGGTCTAATACCACTAAACTTGTCCAGAGCGGAACACCTAGCTCCCAGCCATGCCAATAGAATCTGACATTGAAGTTCTTCTGTCTTGCTATCTGGCGGACAGTGACAGATCACCGCAGAGGCGGCGGGAAAGAAAAGCCGTAGATCCAGCCGCCGTTGTCGTTGAGGCTGCCGAGGGAGCAGCAGATACACCCACCCAGCCGCCAGCTGTACGTGACGCAGTTGGGGGTGACGATTACGTCATTACTTGCAACTTCCACGATGATGTTGTTATACCGGCAGCTGGAGCTCATCAACCTTCACTGAGCGACACAGCTGACGTATGTCGACTAAATCATCAGGACCCAGAACATATTTCTAGTAGTGGAAGAAAACGATCCAGAAACATCACAACATCACCATCACGTTCGAACCCTTCTAATGGCGGAAGCTTCTCCTGTATGGACTACCGCGCAGGACAGGAAGTAAGGCCATCACGAAGTAGTCATGGTAACAGTGACATGGTACCCTCAATATCAACACATTATGGACAAGTTTCCTATCCAGGCGAAGTAAGCTTATTCAGAACAACTACAATAGATACTCAACTAGGTGACGCATCTGTTACTGGAAGACAGTCATATAAGAAACAAAAGGTAATGCTGTACCATGACGTGGGTAATTCGACACATGAAAAGCTAGCAGCCAAAGATGTTTCTGATGGTAGCGGTGTCTATTACCCAACACAGAATACTCTAAGCTGGTATGTTCCTCAGAAAGGAGGGCTTAAATCACACTCAGGATTTGAACATCCTCTGCACTCTCTATCTCGATGTTGCGAGAAGATGGTTCCAAATCGAGGCAGTGCGCTGAAGTCGTTGGTCGACGACATGGCTGCAGAAGTGACTGGACACTCGGAGAAGATGAATTTGGAATATCTAAATAACCGTCGGTTTGGTTCCCGGTCTGACGCGGGTGAGGAAGCTGGTGATGCGAGACATGAGCAGACTACTCCAGCCTGGCACCAACCTCTTGATGTCAAACGTCCTTGTGGTGCTGACGCTGTAGACACCCTGAAGGTCAAGGCCAATCACATATTTAGAAGTGTTTCTGGAGGAACAGTTACAGAAAGTCAACAGCAGGAAAGGCCCATTGGCGATGAAAATAGTTATGGTTGTGAGAAAAGAGTCGAACTTGTGTATGGAGACAGTGATAGTGCTGAATTATCTCGAGGAATGTATTTTGTTGCTGATTCTTGTGGGGTATTAAGTTTGGAAGACGAGTCAGTACAGGACAGTGGACCATCAAGTGACCAAGTCGAAACAGGTCCTGAAAAGCAAGATTAAGTCACAATGCTAAACACATCAGACGTATTTTGAACAGACGGAGGTACATATTAGATACTGACTCTCTCCTTCACCGACAATGTCGGGGTTTCATCCTCAGACACGCAAGTCGGGATATTGTTCGTCACACAGAACAAACCCAACTTTCCTTCAACATACCACAGAATCAACCAACTCACCATCACTCCAAACCAAAAAAGCAAAATTGTGGCATCCTTTACGCGAGGACCACGAAGCGATTAACTCAGTGCACTCGTCAGGCAAGGATACCCAACTCCCAGACCAACGATTTTCTTCTTTACAGGATGATTCTAAAAGGTGCGACTCCGTTCATCAGCCATATGAACTGCAGAGTTTCGGATTCTTCAATAACGCTGAGGAAGCGACCACCGCTGTTACAACTTCAGCATCTGGAAGTACACTTTCAGATTTCAGGGCCTTGGTTGAAGCATTTGACAGCGAGGAGTCTGTTTCTGAAGAAATGGTAATCGACCCTGTCTATGGTGCCTGCCAAGAAACATACACTACCTCCACAAAGTCTGAGTTGTCTCTCCACAAACCCCGCCCGAACTCTCAACAGTTGACCTATACCTGTTCTCTGTGTGGTCGCGATAATCTGTCCAGGAAGACCGTTCGGCGTCATGAGGCAAGGAACTATACCTGTTCGAAATGCAATAAGAAATTTTGTCTTCAAGAACTGTTGTTGAAACATAAAAAGTTCAAGCTTTGCTACCAGGAAGGCAGGACACAGATGACTGACATAGCTTGCGTGTGACGTCCGAAACGAGGCAAATTCAAAGAAGTGTATATCTGTGTAAAATAGATGTCAATAAAACGTTCATGATGAAACAAGGTCTGTTTGTGTGGAATGTATGAATTGAGTAGTGGAGTGAGTGAGTGAGTATTTGGTTTTACGCTGCTTTTAGCAATATTCCAGCAATATGAAGGAGGGGGAGGGAAGAGGGGGAGATGGGCTTCACACATTGTACCCACGTGGGAATACAGCAGTGGTACATGGTGATACTTTTAAGGATTCGTTGAGGTATACTGACTGACTGACTGAGTTTGGTTTTACGCTGCTTTTAGCAATATTCCAGCAACATCACGGGGGGGACACCAGAAATGGGCTTCACATTGTGTGGGGATTCGAACCCGGGTCTTCGGTTGACGTATACAAAACATTTTGAGTGAGTGAGGTGTGTTTAACACTGCTTTAAACAGCATTCCAGTTATATCACTGTGGGTCAGCTTAATGCAGGACCAGTAAAACCTACAAGTTACGGTATGGTGCTGACAAACCTTGAAACATACTCCAACACACAACCATAGGTTCCTGGCATTCACAAGGGCAGCAACTCTTGTACATCAAATGGAAGTAACTCAGACCCTGCCAATCGTTCCCCTTAGTCAGGCCATCAAAACATGAAAGCCCTGAAATATTTTTTAATCAATACATTTAATTAGAATTGATCTTCAATAACCCAGGGACGGTGGCGGTGGCCTAGTGGTTAAAGCGTTTGCTTGTCACGCCGAAGGCCCAGGTTCGATTCCCACATGGGTACAATGTGTGAAGCCCATTTCAGGCGTCTGTGATGTTGTTGGAATATTGCTAAAAGCGTAAAACTATATTCGCTCACTCACTCTTCAGGAACCAATGCTTATCGTGAGTCGACTAGCGGGTTGTCAGGCCATGGTTGCATGCCATCTATTGGTTGACACATGCCATCATCTATCCCAAGTGTGTACAGATTGATGTTCATGCTATTGATCACTGGATTGTCTGGTCCAGACTTGATTATTTACAGACCGCTGACATATAGTTGGAATATTGTTAAAAAACTATTGCATAAAACTAAACTCACTCACTGAATGTGTATGCATATTAACTGATCTACTTTGAATTCTACTCAAACAGGTGGTGGAGTAACCTTGTGGTTAAAGCATTCACTTGTCACACGGAAGACCCGGTTCGATTCCCCACATAGGTACAATGTGTGAAGCCCATTTCTGGTGTCCCCGTCGTGATATTGCTGGAATATTGCTAAAGGCAGCTTAAAACTAAACTCCCTCACTAATTCTACTCAACATTCTGGTGTCCCCCCACAATGATATTGATGGAATATTGCCAAAAGCGGGGTACAACCATACTCACTCACTCAACAACGACTCCTCATTAACTACTTGTGACTGGTCCTTACAGTCTACATTGAGTGGTCAGGCTTGATGTTTTGGTGAATGCATGATACTATTCAAATTGTGAAAATCGGTGCTCATGATGTCAATCACTGGATTATATGGATCACACTCGATTATTTACACACAATGTAGCTATATTGCCCTTGGCTAAAAACAACAAATAAAGCGATGACTTTCGCTCAGTACATATTTCCATTTTACAGTGTTTGCTCTTTACACTAAAGCTTACAATCTGAGTCATAAATGTTCATAGCGCTACGACATTTGTAAGCATATGATAATCTATGGAGTTACTACAGATCGTAACATTACAAACACTTTGTGGCTCGGAACCCTGCTCTCTAGCTGTGTTTACTTGTTTCACAGATTGTGTCGGCACATTACACATTCTACTGACAAACTACTTTAAACAGTGGTACATTGGTGGTGTCTGTATGTAACACAGTCAACTGACAAACTACACTAGAACAGTCCTAACTTGTTATACACTGTCTGCACATGGCACAAAGTTTGTTCCGCCCGGAGAGCGGAAGGTCGTGGGTTCGATCCCCGACCGCGTCATACCAAAAGACGTTAAAATATGGTACTTGTTGGTCCCTGCCTGACGCTCGGCATTAATGGGTACATCAAGGACTGGTCGGCTCGAAGTCAGTATAATGTGTCTGAGTGGGGTATTCATGCTTCACTGCGGCATGGTATCTCAGTGAGCTAGCACTATAAAACCAGCTTAAGTCTGGGCTAGTACAAGCAGCCGCACATACACACGCACACAGGCATGCACGTTGTCATATGAGCGAAATATTCTCAAGCACAACGTTAAACCCAATTTCACCTCACCTCACCTCACAAAGTTTGTAGTAGGGGAAATCAACTATTTTTTTCAACAAATATGTTTATCAAACAGTTTAGATCAATTTCGACAACTGGCACTATATTTTACAGTTTGAAGATCCTGTATTCTCTATGATGTGTTAGGGTGAAATATGGCTTAATGAAACATTGGAATAACTGCAAGGCTGTTTGTACTAGTCTAACTTACATCACCCAACACATGGTACACTGACAGCGAGACAAGTTCTTCCACCATGAGTGACAACACTTTAGAATTTTACCTAGCATGAAGGTGGAGCAATGAGAACTTGTGTATTGTTTGAGTTTACTCATTACATCTGCTCCTCACATAGGGACAACTGTCAATAGACAGATGAAAGAGGATAGAAGTGACTTCTGCCTTCAACATTTCCTTAGACTGAAAAGACACCAGCAGGTGGATAGTGATAAAAACACAACTTTCTGTTAGTAACAAAATTTACTGACATATTAAAATGAGTGATAAAGCATGAACAAGCCAGTCACAGTAAACCAGCTACTTTATTCATATCATTGATTATTCCACTGTGTATCTAACACTATCAAGGGAAGAAATGGGCCTCTGGAAAACATATCTAAATTATTTGACTAGGGTAGTAACTGTATTAAGTCCATGCCATGATGTTAACCTTGGGTTAAACAGTTGCCCACAAAATGCGCATTAGTTATCAAATGCTTTAGACACATTTGACCAGAGGTAGATTTGAGATATGACTTCTTGCATCACGTGGATCTAAGTCTTTTCTTAGCTGGTTCCGATTCTTCTAATACTTCTGTAATCTCTATCTGAGATCTGGCCACTTCAGTTTGTCCGTTTGTTATTAAGGCAGCGGCCGAGTTGGCTGCATCCTGGTCCATCTGAGTATGGTCTATGACTAGGGAGTTCTGGTCAGTGATGCTGTCCGTGTTCTGCTGACCCGACTCATCCTCCACACACATGACAAGACAAGGGGACACAAGCTCTGCAGTAGAGTGGATGTTAGGACCTGCTGCCCCAACACCATTCTCACTGCCACTCTTGTCCTTGGCAGCACATTCCTGTTTGATGTGAACTACATGCTGCCCATCACCCACAACATGAGTCTCTTCTGCCTTCTCCGTCTCATCATTGATGTGGATTTCGTAAGAGTCGGGCGAAATGTGGACTACGTTGGAGCTGACTACCAGCTCATGAGGTAGTCGTGTGAGGAAGGCCTGTCTGAGGGACGCCAACTGGGCACTGAGCAGGTCCTTGTGCTGCTGCTGCAGAGAAGTCAGCATATCCTGCATATTGATCTGTTCAGTCAGCTGCAGCTGGTTGAGAAGCTCCTGCTCTCTCCGTTTGTACAAGTTTATCTCCTCAGCCTGTGCCTGGATCTACAATAGCAGAAGACATTCTACAGCACATGGAAGACTATGCTAAACTGGGCATCAATTCATCATAACAATAGTTCCCTTCTCATCGTGTTGTCAATCCTGACAGTTTATCTTGACAACACTAATGTTTTCAAGACTGATGTCAAATACACAATTTACTCCATCAGTTAATCATTTAAAATGCCCAGTAATGCTGTGAGCATTCCGGATGAGAAAAAAATGCATCTTGTATGAGAGGATTTAATGGACCAAGGCGTCAGACTCATTTGCTTGACAATAAATTCAGTGTATCCTGATGGTATGGACTGACTGACTGAGTTTAGTTTTACGCCGCTTTAAGCAGTACTCAGCAATATCATGGCGGGGGACACCAGAAATAGGCTTCACACATTGTGCCCATGTGGGGAATCAAACCCGGGTCTTCGGCGTGACGAGCCAACGCTTTAACCACTAGGCTACCCCACCACCCCTGATGGTATGGAGAGTTACTCATAATATCAATCACTGATTATCTAGTCCAGATTCAATTATTTACATTCACATTTCATCACTTACTTGTGTTCTGTTCTGGTCGAGTTCAGCCTTAAGCTGCGCTTTCTCTTCCTCAAGTCTTTGACAACGGATTTCTGCGGACTCATACTTCCTCTCAAGTGACTGTTTCGGATCAAGGTAACTTACATCCTGAAATAAATGTTAACTTAGATGATCAATAATTCCTTTACAATAAGCATGTTTTCATTTCTCAATGGATCTGCTTATGGTGGAATATTCAGAAATACAAGTCACTTGAATTAAGACAAAGAACTGAGCTTTCACAGCTAATAAATCTATGATGCGTTAAGTCTAAAAGAAATCGTATTCAGTGTGTTTCGCAATTGTCAATACAAATCTCACATTTATCAATACATTAGCACAACCTCTCCAGTAACAACGACAAGTACATTGCAGTGACTTTAAAGAATTTCATGCATTTTATAACTTTACTTCACATGAAATCATGTATTATATTACTCTCAGTGTGTACCTCTGCTGATATTATCTGTGTCCCAAAGGTGTTTTCTATCTGAGCTGCCTCCAGCTGTTCTTCAGATATGATCATGATTGTCTGACCATCGCCAGTATTTATTGTCTCGTTGGCAGCTATGGACACTTGGACAGTCCCTTCAGAGGTCTTACACACACCATTACTTGTCAATACTGCTGAAAAGAAATTTGCTCTTCTTAAAAAGTAGATGCAGCAGTAGGTTCTGTAGCGTACTTAAATTCTTGGGATATTTTTTAAACATCTTACTCTTAGAATACATCATGTTAAATAATTCGAAGAACAGGCAGCGCTTAGAAACAACACTTTTCAGTAAACCTACACTAACCCCTGAAGCTATATTTTCATTTGTTCAGCAACTGTTTTGAAGACTTTATCAAAACAGACAAAGGTGTCCTAAATTTGAAATTTGTCTGCAGCCAATTACAGCTGACATTGACTGGCAATCTAAGAGTAGGCAAGTCGGGGCCAGATCCACAAAGTGTTTGTAGCATTACAATATTCATAAGCATATGATAAACTATATACTTATGTACTTACAAACACATTGCAGATGGGGCCACTGAATTAAATTCACATGCCCCGCACTAAAAAGAGTCAGCGATCTGATGGGACATATTTTATTTATAGCCAATGAGCTCCCTTGCTCTTTTTAGTGCGGGGCAGGTTAAGGCCAAGGTTGTCAATGGCGAACGGGCACGACACAATTCTGTTTGCGATGAATAAATGTACGTAAACTCATTATGATAGTGTGGTGTAAGTGTCTCCGAAAGAATGGCGACTAGTTCGCTGAGAGGTGCCATCAGTTCAACATGTTTTGGTGCATGTCGTTTGTGTATACTGTGAAATAAACAAGAAAATGGGCAAGTTACCGCTACAAATTCTGAGCAGGGATTTCGGCTTGGAATCGAGAAATCATGATTTTTTTGAGCTTCCGAAGACCATAGCTCCCAAAGTACTGCTTCGATGTTTGTGCTCTATGTCTTATTTTGTAGATAAATCTATTGGCTTGAAATGTGTGCATACTTTAAATGGGATAAATACAGTGAGCATCGTAGAATTCGCCCTGAAACGAACTTGGTGTGTTGACCTCGTTACATCCCTTTCCTTTTATATAGTGCTAAGACCCCGACAGTGACAGTACATACCTTGATGGCAGTTTTTAACATTACAAGCCCCTGTGTCGACAGAAAGGAATTGAAAGGATTCAAGTTTCCACTTGACCGTTCGGAAGAGAGGATGAGAAAGCAAATAATCATGAGTCAGGATAAGGAATAATACATGAAATGTAAAGGCAAGTCTTGGCTTCCTTTGGAATGCTTAACGGCTTTGTGGCCACTATTAGGCAAGTTTTTAGCCATGGTTAACAGGGGTGATGGTGAGATGTTGACTCAGGTTCACTTACTGTGGTCTGTAGTGGCAAGACAGGCAGCCTGTGTGAGGGCAGGGTGTATGATGTCCTGGTCAGAACAAATACTGTGTGTGGGGTCAGAAGCACTGCTGCTACACTGATTCACCTCCTGAAACACATCAAACAACCTTATAGAAAACAATGGCAAGATACTTATTAGAAAAGATACAAGATACAGAATTTGGGGGATATCCTTACTTCTTACATTAACTTAGCTGAGCAAACCTCAACAAGTGTTCAAGGTATTTTAAATCAAGTTAAAGCTTTTTCAGTCAGAACGAGGGCATTTGTGTCGTGGCCATTTATTCTTTAAATTGTCCGTATTATCCATCAAAAACTTCAGATGCATGTTCCATTAATTAGGCTTCTTAAGATGAATGTAAACAAATGGACCAACAATTCGCCAGCTTCTCATTAGGCCAATATCAAAACTAATCTGTAATTCATTGTTACATTCATTGATTGTTATAATCATTGTAGCTGTACAGTTGTTTTGTAATAAATTGCCTTAGCTGTTTTGTCTTTGTCGCCAGGCTGTTAACATCTTCTTGGATGATTCATTATATGCTATCTAAAGGGATGACTCACTTGAGCAATCTGTATTTGGAAGGTCGTTTGAGGATTTCTGAAGTGTGTCTTGTAATGTTTGATAGCCTCATCCCGTCTGTTGAAGCCATTCCGACACTTGTAGCAATGCCAGTGAGCTCCTTTGAACTTCTTCTCTCCCTTTATTACACCAACAATATCACAGTGGTCACAACATCGCAACACTTTCAAACCTGGAAATTATAATGAGTCTGACGTTGGTGCTGCGAAAACCGATGACATTTACATGAGGGTTTACAGAAATAGGTGATACGTTCTCATGATCATATGTGATAATGCTAAATAGTGAGTAAAGAAATTTAAACTAAACAAACTTGTACAATGTCCATTTTCAGACATTCAGTAAACATTGATGAACAGAGGACAATTCGGTTAGCAGTGTGCCAATGTTAGGGAGTCCTGTGGTTGGGTCATGCAGTAACTAGTATCTTATGCCATTTGAACCTACCTTACCTTTCGCCAAATGCTTTCATTTTCATGATGAATTATAATATTAAATCAACCCTATTTACATGGTAACAAAGGCTATTCTCACAACCCTTCACAAATGAAATGAAATTCAGTTGTTAGTCAGTTTTTAGAGTGAATTGGGGTTCCTCCATTTGACCAGTATTTCAGTTATATCCTGGCATGGCAACTTGATGTGAGAAGAAAGCTATCGATTATGCAGGTCTTTGATGCTAACCACATTGGTGTTTTAGTTAGTAATCAAAACCTAAATATGTTATTACATATGTGATGTGAAATATGTTGATTTCTTTCAGATATTTTTGGCTTTTTTGCTCAAAGTTACTTCACCGATACTTAACTATAACTGATCAATATTATCAGTCTCTATATTCTATATCGATAGCTAGCCCTAGTGAAAAGACATGCTGTCTCACAACAGTAACACGTATACAGACATAAAGTGAGATGATAAAACTAGCAGCTGCCATTCTGTGGTTTGTGAAGAGAAATGTACCTACCAGCAAATTCAATGCCTTTGTCAACATGCTTGACTCTGTAGTGAGCCTTCAGTATTACTGGGTCTTGGTATGAGTCTGACTTCACACAGAAAGGACAGTGCATGTGTGGGGTCTTGTTGGTACATGATGTATCTTGACAGACACTTGGAGAGTAGTTGTTTTCAGTGCCCTTGATCCGAACACTTGGGTGTGTCTAAATATGAAAGTCAAGCATTTAGAAAACATAATTCATGTTCAATTTCAAAGCGTCATAAATGAAAACAAGCTACTATCATACACCTACGCCATCATTCCTCAAAAGCAAAAAAATACACAATAACCGGATACACTTTAGCTCTCAGCAATGTTCATGCTATATGATGGCTGTCTGTAAATAGACCGCCTCCGTCGTGTAGTGGTTAGAGCGTCTGCCCGGAGAGCGGAAGGTCGCGGGTTTGATCCCCCGACCGCATCATACCAAAAGACGTTAAAATATGGTACTTGTTGGTCCCTGCTTGGCGTTCGGCATTAATGGGTACAACAAGGACTGGTCGGCTCGGAGTCAGTATAATGTGTCTGAGTGGGGTATTCATGCTTCACTGCAGCATGGTATCTCAGTGGGCTAGCACTATAAAACCAGCTTAAGTCTGGGCTAGTACAAGCAGCCGTACATACACCTACACATGCATGCACGTCGTCATATGAGCGAAATATTCTCAAGCACGACATTACACCCAATTTCACCTCACCTCACCTGTCTGTAAATAATCAAGTATGGAGCAGACAATCTTGTGATTGACATCACAAACATCAATCAATGACAAGCATCTAACAAGTTAGCAAGTCTGACCACCCGATCCCTTCAGTTGCCTTTTACAACAAGCACAGGCTGCTAATGACAATTCTAACCCATATCATCACACATGATATATTGGTTGGACATTTAAATAATGTAATAAGTATTGACATGACATCCTTTATAAACTGTCCATGACTGAAAAGAAATTGATGGCCACATGCTTCACAAGGAGGGTCACTATATTTGCTAGAAATAGTGAGTGAGTGAGTTTAGTTTTACGCCACTTTTAGCAATATTCCAGCAATATCATGGCGGGGGACACCAGAAATGGGCTTCACACATTGTACCCAATTGGGGAAATCGAACCCGGACCCTTGGTGTGACGAGTGAGCTACCCCACCGCCCATTTGCTAGAAACAGATTCAAAGACAATATGTCAGCAGCCATGACAAAGAATTGTAAAAAGGATGTTTGATAGAAGTTATCTGACTAGTGCACACCACATAAATAATGACTAGTGCACACCACATAAATAATGATCTTCAGGCTGCGGATGAAATGATATGTTCTTCTATATGGTCTAAAGTTAGTTTGTTTGCTGTTCAACGCCACACTCAACAATATTCCAGCTATTTGGTCTGTAAATAATCAAGTCTGGACCAGACATTTGTCAACCAAGTCAGCATTCCTCACCACAGGATTCCTTTAGTCGCCGGTTATGACAAACATTGATGATGTCATTACAAATCAATATCCTTATCGTCTGAGAATCTTTTCACAGGATAAAAAGGTTTAAAAGTAACAAATTTATTTATAAAATAAACCCGTGAAGATCCAGGGTTAGAATTTATCTTCAGTAACCCATGCTTGTCGTAAGAGGCCTGTAACCGATCAAGTGGTCAGACTCGCTGACTTGGTTGACACATGTCATCGTATCCCAATTGCGTAGATTGATGCTCATGCTGTTGATCACTGGATTGTCTGGTCCAGACTAGATTATTTACAGAACGCTGCCATATAGCCGGTATATTGCTGAGTGCAGCGTAAAACTAAACTCACTCACACTCACTATTTATAAAACAGAAATTCAACATTTTCTCATTACTTGAAATTGTTGTTGTAATATTGACAGCAATGAGACCCTAAATCCATCTAAAAACAGTTGATCAGCATTGTGCTACAGATTGTTGTTTGAATCAGACTGGACTAGTCTCAGGATGTTATGCATCTGTTATTCAATGAAATATGGCTGATTGTGACATATATCATCATGAAGTCATTCACTCGGACATCCATTTTCGAATTTTCACACTTTTGCCGAACAATCTCATTTTCCATTCAGAAACCTGGAATGGGATTTTCTAGCAGGTCAAAGTCAAGAATAATTTTCGGTCACACGCAAACAAAATTAGTTCCCTTAACATTTTGCATGCTCCTGCCGTTCGATGAAAGTCGACCAGTTGATAACGTAAATTTAAAGTTTCAAAATTCAGTATTAAAACTCAAGATAATGAAACAGACTTGTGGGGAAAAAAGCGTCTGCTACGAACATTGACACTAACAGTTCACAAATATTACAACCAAAATGGCGCTGATCATTTTCAAAAGCGTTGTTGGTGAAACCTAACTTACAACGAATGTCAGTGGATTCATCTTGCTTCACTGAAGTGTCTGTCTTGTCACATTCGCTTTGATTTGATTTGTCGCTACTGTTTACGGGTTGCAATTTGCTCTTCCCTCCGTGCACCTTTGTGTAAACGTCATGAAATGTTCAGTGGTACTTTCAATGACGTCACGTCTTCTGCCTGCTTTTTAACTTCGGGTTGCGCCGTGAAGATAATCATTATTACGGACGTGTTCGTGGATTGGCGGAAACAGTCGATTTATAACGAAGACCGCTGCACAGACAAAAGTTGACACTTCCGCGGCCAAGAGTCTCAAATAGGTAAACAATGAATCCCGAATTTGTCATCGCGTTAGTTTGTCAGCAGGGGAAAGGGATTAGTTATGAAACATGAACAGTGATACATATAATCTCAAATCATATGCTAGTATATTTTGAGGTGTGCAACAGTTTGAAATGAGTGCGAGAGAAATGCCGAGCAATAGTTTAGCTCCCATCACTGCATGCCTACACAAGCGAATCCTATTGGCGATGTTGAGAAAGCGTTTGGTGGCATGTTTTCACTTCAAATGATAATGTTAAGATCATTATGAAATCTGTTATGTGTCATTGTGAGATTTTAACCGTTTTTTCCACCGTTTTCGATTGATTCATCGAGAAATATTTATGAACAGAATTCCATATAAAAAGTGAAAAGCAGCACTTCAGTTCAGCTGATTTCAAAGTTCACTACATTCTTACGGGACAGATTATTAAAAGGACTTGAACGAATTCGCCAGAAAGGACTTGAAACATTAACCAGACCATAAATTCAAATTTGAGCTTTCATCCACAGAATGACTTTCACAACATGTACAATCAGTCTGTGATTCGGTTACCAAAGTTTCAATATTGTGCAATTTTTGTTTCAAAGTTAGACTTTAAAGATCAAGAGATAGATATGTCGTCTGATGAACATGTAGTTTGGATGGGTAAAGCAATGGAACTTGCCCACAATGCTTTGCAAAATAGAGAAGTTCCTGTAGGTTGCATCATGGTGCATAAAGACAAGGTTATCGCTACTGGCAGGAATGAAGTCAACGAGACGAAGAATGCGACCAGACATGCAGAAATTGTTGCCATTGAAGAAGTGTTTAAATGGTGTAAAGCTAATGATCAGAAACCAGATGAGGTGTTTTCAGAGCTGGTTTATATGTGACGGTGGAGCCGTGCATCATGTGCAGGAGCTCTCAAACAAATGAATGTTCCAATGGTTGTGTTAGGATGTGCCAATGAGAGATTCGGTGGCTGCGGTTCCATCTTGAATGTGGCAGGGATGACCTTCCAAGTCTTGGACCCAAGTTTGTTTGTGTGTCAGGTGTGATGGCAGATGATGCTGTGAACTTGCTGAAAGACTTTTTACAAGGAGAGAACCCACATGCACCAGAAGATAAGCGGAAAAGTAAACAAGCAGAACCGCCAGTTGGAAGTGAAGCCTCATAACAGAACTGCAAAGAGAAAACAAATGTGACATGTCACATTGTATAATTTGATAAAGTCATAAATAATACAGGCGAAAAAGATCATCGTTATGAAGTTATGAAATTTTTGTTCCAGGTTCATAAGGCTGGCTGATTTACATCAAACATGACATTCATGGAACTTGACAAGATGTTTCATGTAACACTTGTTTCAAAGAAACCTGAGTGACTTTGTGTAAGCACTGTGGTAGTGTTTACAGATTAAGTAATATGTAGCAAGGTCTGCTGCCATTAGGAATATATTTCCCCTGTTCACAGTCCAGAGGGTAGAACTTGTGGTATAGTTTTTAAAAATGCTTGTTTGTGCAAGAAGTTACAGTATTTTGAGCAGACGTCTTGTCCAGTGCCATGGAGGGAGAAATGCTTCCCTCTCGTCCCAGGGTGGTCGACAGAAGCTGGTGGTGTTGGGAACAGGATGGGGCAGTTACAGTCTGCTCAAGAACATCAACAAGAAGCTGTATGATGTCATTGTTGTCAGTCCCAGAAACCACTTCCTGTTTACACCTCTCCTGGCCAGCACAACAGTCGGCACTCTCGAGTTCAGGTCAGATGATGAGCATTTTCCCCAATGAGAGATTCCCAGACATACTATGTTCATATCAGCTTCAGCGAATCAATCCAAGACAAAATTCATCTCATTCTATTGTAGGTTTAGCCCAACCTTGAAACTGACTGTAATTATGCCAGCTTTTTAAAATTTTATTGAACAAGGCTCTGCTTCTTTGAGAGGCTACCCGTGAATTTTCGGGTTAGTAATTGGTGCTTGTCGTAAGAAGATCTATCGGGATTGGGTGGTCCACCTGCGCTGATTCTGGCTGACACATGTCATGTATTCCATTTGTGTTGGTGGATGCTCATGCTGTTGATCACGGGATTGTCTGGTCCAGACTCAATTATTTACAGACCTCTGCCATATAGCTGGAATATTGCTGATTGCAGTGTTAAACAACAAACAAATAAACATTCCAAGTATTTCCTGCTTGTGTTTAATGTCCACTGTGTACCACTGAAACCACTCGAGTTTGATGTTCATTATCTAGGTCAATCATGTCGAACCAATTCGTTTAATGATTGGGTAGAGTTCCGTCAATCAGCTCATTTCCATCTTTCCCGAATTTTGCTGCTGACGCCAATAGACATGCGTTGAGAGAAGAAGGCCCTCATTGCTCTGAACTTCGAGTGCCGAGTGTGGGTGAAGTAAACCAGCCTGGGACTGAACTACTGGCTACGGTTCTTGAGCAAACTTGTGATTGATTAGGATGGAGCATGTCTCTCAGACAACCGCGCTCAAAATATAACTACAAACAAGCACATTTTTAAAAACTATACCACAAGTTCTACCCTCTGGACTGTGAACGGGGAAATATTCCCTAATGGCAGCAGACCTTCCGCATTACTTAATCTGTAAACACTACCACAGTGCTTTTAAAGTCACTCAGGTTTCTTTGAAACAAGTGTTACATAAGAACATCTTGTCAAGTTCCATGAATGTCATGTTTGATGTAAATCCAGCCAGCCTTATTGAACTGGAACAAAATTTCATAACTTCATAGCGATGATCTTTTTAAGCCTGTATTATTTATGACTTTTTATCCAAATTATACAGTGACATGTCACATTTGTTTCTTGCAGTTCTGTTATGAGGCTTGCTTCTGGCAGGGTTCACCAGCATTTTACTTTTCCGTTTATCTTCTGGGTTCTCTCCTTGTAAAAGTCTTTCAGGATTCACAGCATCATCTGCCATCACACACCTGACACACAAACAAACTTGGGTCCAAGACTTGGAAGGTCATCCTTGCCACATTCAAGATGCGCAGCCACGAATCTCTCATTGCTTTATCGAACACAACCATTGGAACATTCATTTGTTTGAGAGCTCCTCACACACATGATGCTGGCTCCACCGTCACATATAAAACCAGCTCTGAAAACACCTCTCATCTGGTTTCTGATCATTAACTTTACACCGATTTAAAACACTTCTTCAATGGCAACAATTTCTGCATGTCTGGTCGCATTCTTAGATGTCGTTGACTTCATTCCTGCCAGTAGCGATAACCTTGTCTTTATGCACCATGATGCAACCTACAGGAACTTCTCACTTTGCCAAAGCATTGTGGGCAAGTTCCATTGCTTTGCAAACTACATGTTCATCGAGACTGACATATCTATCTCTTGATCTTTAAAGTCTAACTTTGAAACAAAATTGCACAATATTGAAACTTTGGTAACCAGATCACAGACTGATTGTACATGTTGAAAGTCATTCTGTGGATGAAATCAAATTTAATTTATGGTCGGTTAATGTTTCAAGTCCTTTCTGGCTGCCGAATTCGTTCAAAGTCCTTTTTAATAATCTGTCCCGTAAGAATCGCCAGTGAACTTTGGAAATCAGCTGAACTGAAATGCTGCTTTTCACTTTGTATGAATTCTGTTCATAAATATTTCTCGATGAATCAGTGAAAACAGTGGAGCAAAACGGTTAAAAATCTCACAATGACACATAACAGATTTCATAATGATCTTAACATTATCATTTGGAAGTGAAACATGCCATAAACGCTTTCTCAACATCGCCAATAGGATTCAACTTATTGTAGGCGTAAATTGATAGAGGAGCTAAACTATTGCTCGGCATTTCTCTCGCGCATTTCAAACTGTTGCACACCTCAAAATATACTAATATGATTTGAGATTATATATCACTGTTCATGTTTCATGGCAATCCCTTTCCCTGCTGACAAACTAACGCGATGACAAATTCGGGATTCGTTGTTTACCTGTTGAGACTCTTGTCCGCGGAAGTGTCAACTTTGTCTGTGCAGCGGTCTTCGTTATAAATCGACTGTTCCGCCAATCCACGAACGTCCGTAATAATGATTATCTTCACCGGCGCAACCCGAAGTTAAAACAGGCAGAAGACGTGACGTCATTAGAAAGTACTGAACATTTCCTATGACGTTTACACAAAGAGTCTGCACGGAGGGAAAAGAGCAAGTACAGCCCATCAAACAGTAGCGACAAATCAAATCAAGCAGATGTGACCGAATAGTTTACTAAATTGAAGCAAGATGAATCCACTGACATTCGTTTGTAGGGATTGGGTTTCACCAATAACGCTTTTGAAAATGATCCAGCGCCATTTTGGTTTGTAATGTTGTGAACTGTTGTCAATGTTCGTAGCAGACGCTTTTTCCCCACAAGTCTGTTTCATTATCTTGAGTTTAATGTACTGAATTTTGAAACTTTAAATTTACGTTATCAACTGGTCGACTTTCATCCGAACGGCAGGAGCATGCAAAATGTTAAAAGGGAACTAATTTTGTTTGCGTGTGACCGAAAGAGTATTCTTGACTTTGACCTGCTAGAAATCCCATTGGGTTTCTGAATGGAAAATGAGATGTTCGGCAAAGTGTGAAAATTCGAAAATGGATGTCGAGTGAATGACTTCCTTGATGATATGTCACAATCAGCCATATTTCATTGAATAACGCATAACATCCTGAGACTAGTTCAGAAAAATCTGTAGCACAATGCTGATCCAACTGTTTTTTTAGATGGTTAGGGTCTCATTGCTGTCAATATTACAACAACAATTTCAAGTAATGAGAAATGTTGAATTTCTGTTATAAATAGTGAGTGTGAGTGAGTTTAGTTTTCACGCTGCACTCCA